ATTTCTTAGAAATTAAATAAAGAATAAGAACTTGTTATTCATTTGTACCTCTACTAAGGTTAATACGCGAGTTTATAGTAATTATGAGGATCTAAAATTTCCTAAAAAAAAAAAAAAAAAAAAAAATTATATTTTTATAAAATATTTAACTATCCAATAATTTATTTAAGAATGTGATTATTTTTCTCTTACTGTAAAATGAGTAGTAACTTGAAATGCATGTTGTTGATTAGACAATGTTCGCCTGTTTGTATTATATGGAATATTAGTATCTTTTTTCAATTTCTCCAATTCAGCAGTTGTCAAAGCCAACTTTTCACTAAAAAATGCAAACAATTATATATTCTATATTAAACTTGCTTCATTGTGTATTTACCTGGTTGAATTGAGTTTTTTAAATATGCCAAAATTAGAGTCAAATTTAGTTTTACACTCGTTTTCGATGTTACGAGCTTCTTTCAGGGCTTTAACGGCTTCCTCATTTTTTGTAAATGCTACCTAAAAAATAATTAATTATAATATGTTATATAACACTATATATTATGTAACTTTTCAGACTGTTACTTGTGTAAAATTTTCGATGTCTTTAGCGCGTGCTAACAGCCGGTATTCTTTCTCTTGTAATGCCTGCTGTTGCATTTCGAGATGCTTGATTTTTTCTTGCCATTTCAATCGTTCTTGATTCGCGAGTATAGTAGCGTCTTGAGCTGTTTTTATAGCAGCAGCTGACTAAAAAATTTTTTAAAAATATATTTGCACTCTACATACTTGGATCTAATCTTTTTAATTTACCTCTATCTTTGTAATATTATCCGAATTAGTTTTTATTGTCCTTAAAACTTCATATTGCTTCTTTTTAGCTGCAATAACTTCTTTCTCCTTTGTTAAAAGCTTCATTTGTTTTTCTTGTTCGTTAAACCAAGATTCTTTTAAAGCCTTATAATATCATATATATACATATACGTAGATAAAATTTTTAAATAATGCAGTCTATAATTTTATTCTCAAATACTAAGTATACCTCATAATTACCTGTAAATGATTATATTCCCATTGTACTTTTTCTTCGAACAATTCTCTTTCACGCGACAGAGATTGTTCTCTTTTTTTTAGTGTTTCCAATGTCTCGTTAAGCATAATACTTTTTTTCTCTAATTCAAGCATCAATTGTGCAACATGCGAATCTAATTTGTCTGCTACTTTCATCATTTTATCACGTTCTTCCATCAATAACTCCTGTTGTTTCTTTATTTCTACACTTCGTACTGTAGCAATATTATGCAAAATGAATAAAAACTATATACTATTTACAACTACTTAAATACATCTTAAAACATTGTTTCAACATACTTTGCATGTCTTCTTCTTGAGTTTTTAAATAACGTTCTCTTAACTTTACACTTTGGTCTTCTCTATGATCAGTCTTTTCTTGCACATTTTTTATATTCTCTATAATAAAGTCAGCTTTTTGTAACAAATTCTGCATATCAGTCTTGTGAGTTGCTATTGTTGTCATAGCCAAGTTCTCCACTTCTCTCATTTTTAATATATTCTCTATTGTATCAAAATGCTCTTTCTGCAGCAGTCTTGTATTTTGAGAATGGCGTTTATAAATTTCTTCTATAAATTGTGTATGTTCCTTCTAAATAAAATAATAATTAAAATATTAACAACAGCAAATCTTCAATTACAATTCATGATATAATCTTAATATATTTAAAAAATTTATACCTTTAAATTCTGTATTTCTTCTTTATAAAATGTTTCAATTTGCATTTTTTCATTTTTTAACTTTTCAATCTTTGTTTCATAATCCGTCTCTAAACATTCAAGTTCCTGTTGCATTCTCTTTTCCAATGTATCTGTTCTTTCTTGCAAGAATCCTATTTGCCGTCTAAGGAAAAATTATATGAATAACTTTTTAAAGAGAAAAGTTTTATATATATATACACATATCACTAATTGTTAAATAATAGTTTCACTTACTTATACGATTCATCTAGAATCATTATCTCATTTTCATATTTTTCGTTTAAACTACGTATTGTTATTGTCAGATGAGAGTTTTCTAACTCCAATTTATGAACCAAGTTTTTGTAACTCGCGTTTTTGCAAATTAAATTGCCATATATATCTTCCGAATTTTTATTTGCATCAGGAGGAACATCTATTGCATTAGACTGCACATAGAGTACAAAATTATATATACAAATGTTACTTTGCAAAAATTAATTAACTAAAAGTTCTTTTTATAAAAAAGAATTTTATATCTCTTACTTTATGATAATCTTCATTTTTTCGTTTTTCATATTCATTTATTTCGATTTTTTGATCATTTGATGATGCTGTCAATTCTTTTTTTTCATGTGGCAGTGATTCAGCTACTCTTGTTTCATTTTCTTGAACAATTTTATCAGAGCTCGATCTTCTATGTCTGCTGAATAATTCTTCAGCAGGTGTTATTTTATCTTGGATATAGTCGCTATTTTTATCTTCTGTTACCTTTTTAGGTTCCAACCAATCTGGTAAATATTGTTTAGTTTCAGATTTCTGTCTACTTGAGTCTGCAGACACTGTACGTCTTTCTTCCACCTGTTAAATAAAAAAAAAATTAGGCATAATTATAGAGAAAAAGAAAGAAATATTATTATAAATCATCATTTTAAACATATACACATATTAAGCTTGTATTTACAGTTTTCTCAGTTTGATTTGACATGCTCAAAGAGAATAATCCTAAAGGATCATTAATAATCTCCGAAGTTCTTTTGCCTCTACGTGGCTCTCTCGTTCCGAACGCTGTTGGTGCATAAGTCGAATGCTGCGATTGTATTCTAGGTTCAGTTGCATGCTGTGTGACTCCTTGTTCGATTTGTACAGATTTTTTACTAGCATTTGATTCTTTTGATGGTGATATGTGCAATGTATTTCCAAATAAATCTTGCATCAATGACAGCTTTCTAGCTTTTTCATCTGTTACTTTTGACTTGTCAATTCCTGTAGTGCTTAATGCAGATGTCAAATTATTCTCCTTTTCACTTGGTTTGAAACTCGATAATGACTCATTGGAAACCTTTTTATTAAACAAGTCATCTATTATACTTTTATCTCTTACTCCTACCAGATTCTTTTGGCCTGATGAAAAATCTTTATCAGCTAACAAATCAGCTAATGGATCATCTTCATCTATAAAATAAAAAATAATAATTATATAATAATGTTTTATTAAAAATGCATGTGTGAATCTTTCTTTTTTATTAGATTTAGATGATTTATACATATATATTAATTAATATTAAATTAAACCTGCAAATGTAATTTTTTTTTTGCCATCTTCCATAGATAGATTTCTTTTAAATGCGTTACTAAATAGTTTATCATCCAAATTATCCATATCCTCCACCGTTTCTACCATTTTTGTCGTATTCACACTTCAGTGAATCATAAAATATATTGCAACTCACAGTTCATATAAACTTTTCAGTCATGTGAATCATTTTAATCGCTTATTGACTTCATATAATAGGACACAGTATATATATTATATATATATATATAATATTATTTGAGGAAAAATTAAAAAAGTATAACTATTTATGTACATTTAATTAAAATCGATACTGTGCTTATTAATTTAACCTCACGTAACTGACAATCAATTACAATTATTGACTGTATTTAATACGCTACTGTTTATGCCATGTATTGGCTGGGATACATGTTTATTTACATATAAAATTCATGGTCTTCTTTGAAAAACTAGCCAAGATTTGCGGTAAGGGGAGTGGTAATTAATTTCATTGATAGATGTGTTATTCAAAAAAGCGAAAATATATGTGAGTGAAGTCACCAACTTTTCGATTCGTTCTCCTAAATTCTAAACAACTATAGACCCCATTGATATTGACATATTTTGATTTCTGATGTCAATGCTAAACGACTAGACCACTTCTCATGCTCATTCCCATTGTCGCTAACTAATGTTCAGTCTTCAGTCTATACATTTATACGTTTATGATTGTGAGCTTTTAGCTTGCCATCATCGCCATCTGGCGATCCAGGTACGAAAGCATTGTTATTTGCTCAACTGCGATTTGCTCCAATTTATGGAATTCGCCGCGGATGTACGAACGGATCTCTCTGTTACAGTTGTGCGATTCTCGGCTGTCCTGCATAATCCTGAAGGAGTGGAGAATGTAGCAGAGTGTAGCGGATGCTACCCTTCTGCGAGATCGGGACGAGAAGCAGTTAGCAATTGCATCGTTCGTGCCGTTGCGTTATCGCGATAGCGATATAAAGGCAGGGTGGGCGGATCGCGACGCGTACGTTTCATCGACAGGTCGATGATCAACAATCACGCGTCCCGCTCCTGCGAGCTCGAAGGGTGAAGGGCCGTGATGTTGAGATTCTTGTCGCGACGGAGGGCGCGCAGCGTCAGCGGCCAGACCGCTTCGTCGCAGATCAAAAATCAGAGATTACCCAGCAACAAGAATATCGTGCAGTGTAGGGTGGTGCTGCTGGATGGCACGGATTTACCTATAGAGTTGTCAGTAAGTTTTTTTTTTTTTATTATAGGAGAAAAAGAACGAAAGCAGCACGATTAATGAGCCATATCGATGGCAATTATCTGGGTATATTTATAAATGTGATTGATTTGATAAATTTTTTTTAGCGATTTATCATAATGCAAAGGAATAGATAGAATTTATTTAACTGTCATTAGTAGTTAGCAATAGGAATATTAATTTTTATTTTACAATATTGTTATGTGATGATTCTATTATCTTTTTTATTTTTCCCTTATGTTTAATACTAAATTTTTTAGTTCAACATTTTTACATTTAAACTCATTCAAAATAAATTCATTTATTCTTATGCAATATTTTTATATACTTTTACAATAACACTATAATGCTTTCATAACTCTGTTGATTTCTTTTACAGAAAAAGGCCTTGGCTGGTGACTTATACGAACAAGTATTTTATAGCTTAGACTTAATAGAGAAAGATTATTTTGGATTGCAATACACAGATAGTAATAATGTTCAACATTGGTTGGATCCAACAAAACCTATTAAAAAGCAAGTTAAAATAGGACCGCCATACACACTTAGACTAAAAGTAAAGTTCTATTCATCGGAACCAAATACACTGCGTGAGGAGTTAACACGATATCAATTCTTTTTGCAATTAAAGCAAGATATTTTGGAAGGCAAGCTTCAGTGTCCTCATCAGGTCACAGTTCAATTAGCTGCTCTGGCTCTTCAATGTAAGTACTTAAACAATATATTTTATTAAAATTAAGCTGTAATTCTTGTTAGAGTAATTATCACATAGCAAATGATTATTGCATGTATTAAAAAATGAAACTTTTATTCTAGCTGAACTAGGAGACTATGATCCCACTATGCATAGCGCCGCAACTGTCTCGGAATTCCGTTTCGTGCCAGGCCAAACAGAGCAGATGGAATTGGAGATATTAGAGGAGTATATCAAATGTAGCGGTCTCAGTCCAGCTCAAGCGGAATCTACTTATCTTAGCAAAGCCAAATGGCTGGATATGTATGGCGTTGACATGCACACCGTCCTCGGAAAGGATGCCTGCGAGTACTCTTTGGGATTAACTCCAACTGGAATTCTGGTTTTCGAAGGCACGCAGAAGATAGGGCTCTTCTTCTGGCCGAAAATTGGCCGTTTGGATTTTAAAAAGAAGAAACTGACGCTGGTGGTCGTAGAGGAGGACGATGAAGGCAGGGGCGAGCAGGAGCACACGTTCGTGTTTAGACTGGTGAACGAGAAGGCCTGCAAGCATCTGTGGAAATGCGCGGTGGAGCATCACGCTTTCTTCCGTCTGCGTGCGCCGGTCAAGGGAGCCAACGGCCGTCAAAACTTCTTCCGCATGGGTTCGCGTTTCCGTTATAGCGGTAAGACGGAGTTTCAGACGACGCAGCTAAATAGAGCACGCCGCACCGTGCAATTCGAACGACGACCAAGTCAAAGGTATGCGCGACGACAGAGTCACGTTCTTCGCGAGCGACAGCGTCAACAGCAGCAAGTAGAACCACTACAACCATCACCACCGCCAGGTGAGATATAGCAAAATATATTGTAGCATTTGTGATACATGCAGCCTCCAAAATCTAAAATAATTCTTTCTTAACAAAAATATCGAGATATTAAACTTTTTTGTTAATTGATTAAAGAAGAGAAATTTTTGTGATAAGTTGCAGTTTAAAAATACAATTCTAGATAAAATCTTTAATTATTTTTAAACAAATTTTACTTCGATAAAATTTTGAAAAATATTTTCTTATATTTAGATATTTAAAATATTTCAGAATTTACAAGAGAAACATAATGTTCAATTAAATTTTAGTACACGAAAAATTATCGATATTTTGTTAAGCAGTATTTTGTTGGACACATTATCTTTGTATCATATTTTATAAGGATGGATTTCAAAAATATTTTCAGCCGAGGAAGAACCTTTGCAGCGTCAACCGAGTCGATCCAGTACAAAATCCAGTACGGACTCGTCGAGCGTTCAGGGCACATCGTCGCCTTTGGTAGATTCCTTGCTGAAATCTCTCGCCAAAGATCAACAACCTTTGGAAGCCAGGAACCAGACGACGGTTGTCAGTAGCGAGAAGGAATCAGAGCCTATGAAGACCAGTTTAACGGTCGAAACTATCACCAGTCAAGTGCAGTTAGTGCCTAACAATCAAGTGGGTGGAACGTTGTCGTTGCCCCCTCGAACGCCGATTCCGCCGGAATCTTTGAAGTGTAACATACTGAAAGCAACTCTCGAACAGGGCAAGAACTCGAATTTGGTTTCCATCACGTCCGCAGACGGATCGGGAGCGATCGCAAAGAAGAATCAGCACTCGGATGCTGCGACCATCGTCTCCGTGGTAAGCCTTGTCGAACTTTCATCGCATTTTTATAGTTTTTTGTCCTGCTTTATTTTCACATTATTACGCATCCTACATATAATATTATTATATGTTTTTTTATTTTATTCCTTATGAAGTTGTATATTTTCTCTTCTGTATACTTGTATTATTCAATATTTTATAATAAAGTTTTCAATGTTAGAGCAGCTTATTAAATGATAATTTTATTATTCTCTTGTTTGTGTTGACACATTTATTTTGTTTGCTTCTGCCAGCTAGCTGCCAGCCATAATATGTATTTGCTTTCTTGCTTTTTTCGTCAAATAGGGCGGCGATAAACTGACTCTCTCCGTGAGCGGCGCGACGACAGCGGTAAATAATCCTTCTACAGATGATGCTGTAACCGTAACGCATTTCTCGCTGGACAGTTGGGGACAGATCGAACAAAAGACGACACCTTTAAGTCCGAAAGTGTCGAATCAATCGCAAAATCCTTTCAATCCATTCACTAACGACACTAGCAATGACACATCTAATACACACGAAGTAGCTTCCGAGGAGGAAGCGAAGCCGGAAGACGATAAGAAAAAGAATACCAATCCGTTCATAGATTCGAATCCGTTCTTGGGCATACTCAATCCCTTCAAAGATTTACAGCCAGTTACAACGGAGAAGAAGGTCGAGACGGATACGGAAAAAGCCGGAGCACGTGTCGTTAAAACAGAAGAGATACAGACGACTACTACGACACTCACACACAAGGTCAGTTATATCTCTTACGCTTGCAAGCCAGCTATAGCGTCCCGTTTATCACATAAGTATCCCGGTTTCACCATTAAGACTTACTCTTAAAACAAGTCTAGAAGATATATTGGGCGTTAATTGTGAAAGAAAAGCAAGAATATTTCATTCTAGGCAGCAAGTTAGACTTATTGGTGAAAGCGTATGAGGAGTTGTTTTGTGTCCCTCATGTGAAAGTCGTCTTTGTGCGTGCAAAGTATTAAACATTGTTCTATTTTATTACTTAAAACACACCCATTAAAATTCTATCATTCCAACTGCGACATCATCAGCATTTTTTAAAATTAATATATAATTAAATATCACAGTTTTTAATAATAACAATAATCGAGAAAAAATTAATTCTAAATATTATATTGAGAGAAATTTTTTTTTCTGTAGGATGAAAGTCAAGCGGCGTCAGACATTAGTCCCTGGTTGGTGGCGGATCCGTCGCAGAGTCCAACGCCTGATCAAACACCAACTAAACATACAGTCATCACGAGAAAAACGGTAATTACCACACAGTTATAAAATATTTATTAAGTACAAAGGAAATATAATGTTGATGTACAATACGCGAGAAAATAGTACGAACATGTATATTTACTCTGATCTTCCTCGGACTGCCTGCATCTCTTTTACTCGATGCGCTTATAGAATGCATAATGTTAGTGACATGACGATTAAAATTGGGCACACAAAAATGAACTACTTATTAAAAAAATACTTTTCATCCGAAAGGATTCTAAGTTGTACTTAAATATGCAAGAGTAGCTACCATTGGGAAGGCATTGCTTAAGTCATTATTATAAATTTCTGTGTCGGTTAATAAGGGTCATTTTATGACGACCACACAAGGATTTGCATTACGAAGCAAATTTCTATGTATAGCACCATAAACATTCCTTAATTCTACATAACGCGTGTTAAGCTAACATCTTAAACTTACGCGTTGCTAAAATAAGTGTCCTTATCGCCCCTGCCAATATATATTGTAAGTATATAAGCAAGAGGTCTATTCGTTTTAACTATACGCGTTTTCTTTTTGCAATTTGATATTATTTTCTTTCTTCCTTTGGTTAATAAGGGTCATTTTATGACGACCACACAAGGATTTGCATTACGAAGCAAATTTCTATGTATAGCACCATAAACATTCCTTAATTCTACATAACGCGTGTTAAGCTAACATCTTAAACTTACGCGTTGCTAAAATAAGTGTCCTTATCGCCCCTGCCAATATATATTGTAAGTATATAAGCAAGAGGTCTATTCGTTTTAACTATACGCGTTTTCTTTTTGCAATTTGATATTATTTTCTTTCTTCCTTCTGAGCATACGCTCGTTTCGCTTTAGATGCAGACAGAATATAGCTAAAACGAACAGATCTACATTACATGGGACAACATGTATTGTTCATGTTTGAATCCACGCATTTCTAAAGTAGTATTTTTGTACTACTAATCACTGTGCCTTAAAATTTAACATGAGATGAACAAATATGTGATTATGCAAATATTAGGAAATAAAGAAAACCCCATATTCGCTTTATGACTGATTAAAAATATATAAGTATATTATACCCCCGTTATATAATAGCATATAAATTATATAAATAATTTTTATATAAGAGTACATATAGATCTGACTAACAATAAGACTTTTTAAAAACAGTTTTATCGGTGATAAATCATAAATTTGCTATGATGAATCAGTTCGATCACTAATATTGATTCTATTTTTTAAGAGACATTTCTGTCGATAATATATTTATATAATATGTTAGAATGACAATACAATAGATGAATGAATAAAGAATCAATACGAGTCGTCGCCAGTCTTAGGTAAAGCACAACTTGTGCCTCAATCTTGCAGCTATAATGATATATATATATATA